GAATACAGGAGTGTTGGATGAAGACCAATAGATCACCTTTATTACTAAAAAACAAAAACAAAAACAACCAGGCAGGTTGGAAAGATGGCTTAGTGTAAGAGCCACAAGGGAGGGCTTGCTAAGAAAACCCCAGAATCAGGCAAGCTCTCCATGGAGTGGGAGTTGCACTTTATTTTGCTCTTTCTCTTACAAAAGTGCAAGTGGTTCTTACCTCTGGGTGTCAAGCTCCAATTCTAAGTTCAGAGCCAGAGGGAATGCCTTTCTGTTCTCACCCTTGCTCAGCTCAGTTGCAGACCCCAAGGTCTGAAGAAAGTGATGGGGAGGAATCTGTTTTAATCCTCGCTAATTAAAAAAGATCATTAGAGACCTCAGTAATCCTGAGAGCCAGTAAATCACTTATTATTTACCGATGGTTCTGGTATTTAAAGCTTTGCTTTTTTTGGAGTTGTTTTAGCATCACTAAAAGGAAAACAAGTATGAATAATTTAAAGATGGGGAATTTAAAGTTTCCCTGAAAATATCTTTCACTTCAGGTCAATCAATGCATTACAGGCAAAATGAATTCTTTTCTGTCTCTCTTCACCTTTCCCACTACACACAAACACACACACACACACACACACACACACACACACACACACACACACACAGCAAACAAGGGATAGTGATCCAGATTTTTATGTGCTTCGGACACTTGCCTGTTAGCACTGAAAAACTACCACGGCACTTCTCCCCCAAAAGGATAGCAGTATTTACAGAGGTGTAACCCTTATGCCAAGTTATAATGGGAAGAAATAATCAAAGCTCCACTTGCTGTTTGGATAGTTTTGTTCGTTCAATGTGTTTTATGTAACTTTATCTGCAGAGAGTTCATAACCTAAATCAGATGCTTCTCATAAATATCTTGGTATAATAACTTAGAATAATTAATTTAATAAATTTTGTATAGTAACTTAAAGGGGTACTGTAACACCAAAAGGCTTCTTCCCTGAGACTAACTATTGCTAAGATGGAAGGGGGCTTGTGAGGGTGTGGACGTCGTCACTAATTCAGGTTCATGTTAACTGACCATCAAATTAAACTTGCTCTAGACAGGAAGACAATGTGTTCGAATGGGATGCTGGATGTTTTATCAATTTTGATTGCCTTCATTTGAAACCTTTCATTGGAACCTCTGTTTACTAGAGTCAAATTGTACATAAAATACCAGGCAAAACATTTTAAAAGAGAATTTTAATTATACCACTAAAGAAATGCCATTGTTCAATGTTTACTAAACACTTGCCAGAACAAGTTAATTAATGCATGTTTAAATAAGTGAAAGAAGAAGGTAAGCAGAAAAAAAAATCACACTCCTCTTTTGTTGCAGTTTACTGCAGTTGTCAAAGATGCCCCATTTCTAATTTAACGACGGCACCGTCACAGTGCGCTTGTGTAATTATAAACAATGGGCACAAGAATGCAGTGAGGGCCAAGGCAAAGCCAATTCCCACTGGGAGCTGTTGCTCAAAATAATTGCTCATTGCTGCTTGATGTTTCGAAGTAATCAAATCAAGTGCTTTTCAATTTCCTTCATCTATTCAGTTATTCCATGGGAGAATATCAGAATGTTGGGATGTTGCGTTTTTAATTGGTCAGTAATGTGAGCTTTTGATTATTGAAAACTACAGAAAAATACTTTTTAATAGAGCATTTGTGTAGAAAAAGAAATATTTTGATGATACTGAGTTTTTAGTTCTAATTTTAATAGACTACCAACTTTTCCACTTTCTTTATTCTTTTAGATTCTTAACTTTCTCCATCTATTAATGATGATTACTTGTGTTAGTAAAGACTGATATTGGAAAGCAGTGAATGATCTGCTAAAAAACAAAACGAAATCAATCTTTCTAAGATACATCCTGTTATCTCAGTAGCTTTATGAAAAAAAACAGAAGAAAAAATATCAAAAATAAGTTTGAAATCTTTTGGAGAAATAAAATGCACATGTCCCACTAATTATCACTATCATTATTAAGAAAATTGTTTTCCTACACAGCATAACTGGTACAGTTATCCTCTTTATCCTCAGGGAGCACATTCCAAGACCCCCAATGGATGCCTGAAATCAAGGATAGTGTCAAATTCAATTGCTGTCAACTGGAAGACATTTCTGTTCATGTCTTCCACCCACAACTTAATGCCTTTTTCATCTTAACTAAGCACTTGTCATGCACTGTGGCCATAACTTTTGCAGTTTGACGTGAGACAGCAAAACTAGCACAAATTTCTTTTTCCTTCTCCATGATTTCATGAATGAATAGAAGGTTCGTTCTTACTGAAGATCTTAGCAACCTCAGCAAACAATTTTTTCCTTTCCTTATTAAGTTGAGAACATTCCCCTTTTCACTTAAAGGAACCACTTTACAACTTATCTTTGGAATTTCCAAATGGTCAGTATTTCTACTTTGCAGTTTAGGGCATTAAAATATAAAATGAGGGTGACTTGAACACAAGCACTGTGGTACCTTGACAGTCTATTTGATATCCACGAGGGCTAAGTGACTAACAGGTGGGTTGTGTAGACAGTATAGATAAGCTGGAAACAAGGAAAATTCACAATCCAAGCGGGATGGTGTGGGCAGGGGCAAGGTTTCACCACACTGTCCAGAACAGTGTGCAGCTTAAAACTTATGAATTATTTATTTCTGGAACTTCCCATGTAATATTTTTGGACTGTGATTGACTGTGGATAACTGAAGCCATGGAAAGAGAAACCTCAGATCAGGATGGATTACTGTATTTACCTTTTCTTTTTTAAGAAAGCGGATTTTTTAAAGATCTCACCAACACATCCCATGATCTTTTTCTGAAAAGTTATTCAATATTAACAATTTCATTCATAACTACTTCTGAAAAAAACCTCTGTATCAGTCCTATTATACTTTGTTTCCATATTTCTGAAACTGATTGCCAAATTTCTCAAATCCACAAATTCTGGCACAACCTGTACAGGTCTGGGAAATGACACTGAATTTGGAACAGTCCTCTTTGGGTGTCCTATTTGAAATTTCACTCCAGGTGAGATAGTTGAGTTAGGTTTCTTCTACACCTCCACAGTTTTGTTATAAAAATTAAATATAATATAGAGCTATTGACTGAATGTATGTATGCTTGCAAAAATTGTATGTGGAAACCTAATCCCCAGTGTGATGGTATTTGGAGCTGAGTTCTTTGGAAGGTGATTAGATCATGAAGGCATTGCCTTCATGAATGAGATTAGTACCCTTAAAAAACAGATCCCAGAGAGATCCTCTATTACTCTGTTCTCATACTGTTAATAAAGACATACCCGAGACTGGGTAATTTATAAAGGAAAGAGGTTTAATCAGCTCACAATTCAGCAGGGCTGGGGAGGCCCAGGAAACTTACAATCATGGTAGAAGAGGAAGCAAACATGTCCTGCTTCATATGATGGCAGGAAGGAGAAGTGCCCACAAAAGGGGCAAAAGCCCCTTATAAAACCATCAGATCTTGTGAGAACTCACACGTTATCATGAGAACAGCCTGAGGGTAACCACCCCCATGACTAAATTACCTCCTACTGAGTCACTACCTCGACATGCAGGATTATGGGAACTACAATTCAAGATGAGATTTAGGTGGGGACACAACCAAACCATATCCGATCCCTTGCCCCCTTCTGCCATGTGAGGACAAAGCAGGAAGATGCCCATGAACCAGGAAGCCAGGTCTTCCTGCACGCTGAATTTGCTGATGCCTTGATCTTGGACTTCCTAGCCTCGAAAATGTTGAGATATAAATTTCTGTTGTTTATAGGCCACCTAGTCTATGGAATTTTGTTGTTGTTGCTGTTACAGCAGTCTGAGAAGACTAAGATATAAAAGTATATAAGACACTTAGCACATTGCTACATAACCAGGAAATAAGTGTTAGCTAGTACTGCTTTTAATATTGCCTACAAAGAGCCATGTGAGACTAGCACATGTAACAATTTACTGTCTTTGAGTCGGTTTCAGTAAAGAATGTTAAGTCAGAGTATCATAAAAGGCAGTCTTCCTAAAACACAAAACAAAACAAAAAGCTCTTTCTTCTATGTATTATTTTTCTTTGGAAAAGAAAACCTTATACCTCTGAACAGGCAAGGTTTGGTACTTAAGCATGCCATTGACTTGCTCTTATTTATTTCATCTGAAAGGACAAATAGAGTTTCCTAATGTATTTTTCCTTATAAAATGAGAACCTAAAGTCCCAGTATATTTGCACACCTACTAATTATCAAATGAGTTTCCCTGAATATGAAAACTAAGCCAAAATATAATTTAGCTCTATAAGCTACTGTCAAACTCAGATATTGTTCCATTTGGAACATCTAGGCTTATTATTTGATTAGCAATTGTTTAATGGACTTAATGCAGCTGATTATTTTTTCCACAACTCAGTAAAATGTTTTTGTAAAATGAGCATTTTTCTGATGAATAAAACACACACACACACACAAACACACACACACACATACACGTAATACACCTTAAAAGTATTCTGTCAAGTATTTCTGACATTCTGTCTTTAGAAGATGTTGTGGTTCTATTGCTAATGTAGAATTTCTTTCATATGACTATAAATAAAAACCAGGTATCCATGGTTATAAATACCTCATTTCACATTTCCTTTAGCCACAGCAAAAAATTTCAATTAATTGAATCACAGCCACCCTCAAATAATGCCAGAAGTGCAATACTTGGTGTTCCAGGTCAGGGGCAACCATTAATTAAGATGCAAAGGATCAGCATGAAAGGCTCCAATTTTTGTCCCAGAATTTTTTTTTTGATGGATATGGACTAAAATATTTAGAAAATACAGCTTCAGCTATATGGGAAAGAGGAAATTAGGTGCAGTCTTTATTTTGCTTGGCCTGGAATTTTTGCTAAAGTTCTGAAGTGTCATTTCGGAATATGAAAATAAAAATAATCTTACTTGAGGACTTTTATTTGTATTTGTTTATTTTAACTTGACATATTTATTTGTAATAAAAAGGGCAGCTTTATGGGTAGATGTACAAGTTAACATAAATGGAAATGCTAATGTGAGAAGAGTAACATTCGTATGCTTTGTTCAGTGATCTAATGGAGTTGCTATTCTAACTTCCCCTGTCATTTTCTCTACATTTCAATGTTCAGAGAGAAAGCTGATCATGAAGTCTACTCAGGATTATGGATATAAACTTGTGGAATCACTTCCCAAGAGGAGGGTAGTGAAGTGACTTCAAGTTCCCCTTTCAACTTTCAGAGCTGAGATTAAAATCTCCTTGTTATCAACTCACAGAACAAGGAAATACAACATTCCCCCCATCTTCTAGACATCCACCTGCCTTCAGGTGTGACTTCTGAACTTGCCAGAAGGACAGAAGTGTGGATGTGTCCCCCTTAGACCTAGTCTCCTTGCCCTGGTTTGGTTTGGTTCCAGTTCCTGTGTATTCCAGATTGCCCAAACGGTGAGGATTGCAGGGAGGAGGTGATGTTTGCTATAAAAATGCTTTGATTCTTCAGGATGCAGTGAAGGCATTCATGGCCTGGTGTCCATGACGTCTTCCAGGAGCAGTGGGGAGCTCTGAAACAATCATTTAGGCCATTAAGTGAGAGCAGAAGTCAGGCGCTGCCCACAAGACTGAGTCGAAATGCTCCCGTTGGGTTTCTAAGTGGTTGGTGCTTCTTCTCGCATTGGTCTTGCTGCCAAACACAGCACGTCGATTGTTCGTCCTTTTCGGTATCACACTGAATCTGCATCCAGGAAAGAGGCCTGGATGACGGTGATTAGAAGAATGCCTTGCTTCTCCCAAAGCTGACACCCTGGTGACGTTCTGCATCACATCAGGGAGAGCATGAAATTCTTCCTCGCTGAGGGGTGGTTCAAGAGGTGGAGGGATCTTTTCCTGTGGACTTGGATTCAGGCAGGCTTGTGCCTTTCCCTGAAACTCTGTGATTGACAAGCATTGGCTAAAAGGATGGGTTTTGCAGAGACCTGTGTGGTTGCCCGAGTGGCTGAGATGGCTCTGCAGCTGGTGGTGGCCGCTGCTGCCACAGGAGTGTCCAGCTGTGTGCAGGCTGCATGGGCTGCTGAGGTGCCCCTGTTCCAGCTGGCCGTTAGACATTTAACCATCACTCCCCAGGGCCCTTCGTGCCACCATCGCATAAGGTGAGACGTGTCTTGCTGACCAGTTCCCTGCAACTGGCGCTTAGGATTACCAGGTTGAGGCTGTGTAGAGTCTTTACAGGGCAGTACTGCCAGGCCATGTGTCACTGTCCTTGTCATCCTGGCATCTTCCTTGGTGTGGGGGCTGGAAAGGAGTCAGAGGATGTGAGAATGCCCCTCCTAGAGCTGGGCCTGTTGACACGTGACTCCTAAGTGTCAGAGGAGGTGGAGAGATCTCTCCTCCCAGCACAGCCTGGTGGCTGGAGCATCATGACCCTCGGTGCCTGGCTCACTCGGACCCCAGGGGGAACTCAAGAACCAAAGCATGTGTGAGGTGGAAGAAGAGCGGGTACACATGACTGGTTGTTCCTGAAAGAACTGGAGGGAGGGAAGTGACCCCAGTGCTAGGGGCCATGCACAAGTTGCTTTTCTTTGTCACGCAGTCATGTGGCATCTCTGACTTGGGCCCTTCTGCAAGGGAATTCACAAGTCTACAGCTCTGGCCACAGTGCTGAGCTCTTTGGTTATGAAATCGTATCTGGGCTCTGGGCTCTGAGAGGACTGTTTGTGCAGCCTGTTCTTCCCTGATAGCAATTCCAAGAAATTGACCCCTATCCAGACCCCAATAGACTCTGGCTGAGGTGTTGTATCCTCCGGTTTTGAAACCAAATCTGTGTTCTAAATTGTGGAGGGCCAATTTCTCTGATCAGTTGTTCTCTGGTAGTTATACCAGGGTAGAGGTCCTGTTCAAACTATGCTTAGGGGCATCCTTTAGACTTGAGTTCAAAACATTCCTTCATTGGAGTCCTTTTGAGAGAGAGCTACATGAAGTGTTGGTCCAATCCCTAGAGGGAAGGGTCATCTGGATTCCACAGAGAATGCTGGCTCACTGGGCAGTTCCCGGAGGCACTGGACTCATCAGGACCCAGAAAGGACCATCCACTTCTTAAATAC